CAGTAATGCAGTAAGCGTCATAAGATTGTAGCAGCTACAGTTGAATTACCACACAGGTACCCTGCAGATGTTTCACACAGCCGTGTTGAGTTTGTATGAACAGCATAATGCAGTTTGACGAAAATTAAAAAGAGCAAATAGGAGCAGATCAGAATAGAAAGACGCTTCCCAGTCACAGACAAAAGGGTTTATAAATAACAGCCTTTCTCTGATATAAGCCTGCTTCAAATAAGCTACCACTGCAGCTCAGGTAAGTGAAGGCAACTATTTGAGATTTTACAGTAAGCTACTAAGTATAACAACAGCCTTGGAACAGAGCTGTAGCACACAGTATGTTCAGTGTGGTTCACTTTATGTCTAGATAAGTTCTCGGCCAAGAAATAGTCCGGTACATAACCTCCTGTGAAATGTTGCATTGTTGTTTTGTGTAAATTCGTGAACTTTAGAGGTGCTGGCAGGCTGATTTTGCTACCTTTGAACAGAGCTGGATCCCCCTGTCTCCAGTCTTTATGCTAAGCTATCCGGCTGTTGGCTGAAGCCTTTGGTTTAACAGATAGATTTAAGAGTGGTATCAGTCTTCTCATCTAACTTTCTACAAGAAAACAAATATGTGTATTTCCTAAAAAACAATATAGAAGTATTCCTGCAAAGTAAAGGGATCTGTATCAAACTGTTAATTTATAATGATTCGATTTTTTAAAACTCTACTGTATAAGTCTAAGAACTCATAGGCTATTGTTTGAGGATGATAAAGCCTCTGGGGCTGAGGGCTAATATTTCAAGATATTTGTCTGATGAAGGTCTGAAGGACCGACATGTTGCCTTGATGAAATAAAAATGACAATAATAAGCTCTCCTCTGTGTCTTCAAGATCACATCTCCTCCAAATTGTTTTTTTAAACATCACTTTTGGTACCAGCCCAGAATTTCATAATTCAAAATTTCATAAAAGCTAAATCGTCATCAGACAATAGCAGATGGGCGTTTCACCCAGCACGTTTCACCTCGCATGCCTGGTCTCACTCTGAAGTTGTCAAAATCTAGCACTTGGGCAGTGACTTGCTGCATCAGAAACCAACAAAAAAAGGCATCCTTTAACATGGGCATGATGCGTTATAGTTAAACAGCGCCAACAAGGACAAAAGTTAAGGTGGCAAAAGTCCGAGTGGGTGGGCGGGAAGGATGGTGGACAAGTCCAACAAACATCGACTTTAATCAGAGAGAGCAGTGTTCACGTCTCGTAAGATTCTAAACCCAAACCCTGTTCTTTTTTCCAGAACCTAACCACATGCTTTTGTTGCCTAAACCCAACCATGTGTGTTTGGTGTTGACAAAAAAAAGTGGATTTGTGGTGTTGTACAGACGTAGTGCATTTATTCTGAAAGAGACTCTATGTAAACGGTAAATTTCCTGTGAAAACTGAAGTCTATTTTGAAAGAAGACAATGCATGTAACAGGCAGAACTTGACACAGCGTCCCAGATCGTCAACAACCAACACACCCAAGGTACCTTGCACGTTGTATGTAGGTGTGGAAAGTCCATGACCAAAATGTCAATATGTGATGAGGTCAGAGTGAGAATGTGTTGCCTCTCCACACAGACTGTTTACCTTGCATTCAAACGTGTCACCATCATGTGCCAGTACACCATTGTGCAAAATATGCAAGAACTGGAAAACAACACAACTACAAAGTAAATACATTAACAGCCTCTTTTCCAACAGACTCCCTGGAAATAAAGAATCATTTAAAATGTGCGTGGAAACTGTGTGAGGCAGTGAGCAGCCTAAAAGATGTGGGAACTGTTACAGGTTACACCTACACTTTATTATGATGAAAAATAATGACAGCTTTGCAGCCAAAACCAGGCAGATTTTGCCAGCTCTGCTCTGTTCCAACAGCAACATTTTTCCCTTTAACTCAAACCTTTATGATTTCTATCACTGTATGAGATTACTGCAGAAACACTCGCAGAACTCCGACTGATCATATCTTTCAAACCAACATAAGTCGGCTTCAGTCAGGAATGTGGATCTGTCTGGCTCATTTTATAAAACGGTACATTATCAGGTTTTACATAACACATGTAGTCTCTATCTGATCGATCGAAGACCGGCTCTAACCTTGTTGATTCTGTATTTCTCACAAAGCGTGGCCAACCCTGCTTCACCGGTTGCTATGCCAACTCTCGTGGTAACCAGGGAGCTGGTGGGTGATTTTTTTTTTTCCCTCTCTCTTGTTGTGCATGTGTGTGGATTATTCTGGAGAAGCATTTCTACACTGTACACATGTAGCTCTTGAAAAGCAATAAATCCCCTGAAGATTTTCTTTGCTGTGTATTTTATCTATTGCATCATATTTCATCATCATTTGGCCCGTAGCTACTCTAAAGAATGCTTTTTACTACATCTTACATACAAATAAGTATACTTGGAACACAGCCTAACATAATGTTTTCTTTATTTGTTATGACTTGGCCTGAACAAACCCCTCCCGCTGGGAACATTAATTTCCATCAAATGCTGTCACCTCTCGTCGTAGCTGTGTAACATTTTCCTCACACAGTGATGGAAGAAGTGCTCAGATCTTTTACTTGAGTGCAGAAATACTCTGTTACAAGGAAAAATCCTGCTTTCACAAATTTCCTTTGTAACAGTGCAAAAGTATTAGCATCAGAATATATTTGTGCTTACATAAAGTTAAAGTATTCATTATGCAGATGATGCATATGTGTCTAGATCAATTAGATGGTGAGCCTGGTTAAGGTAGTTACTATATATATGTATATAAGTCAAGTCTGGGAGCAGCCAAATACTTCGTTATATTGTTTGTTGATTATATTATGTATTATTAATCTAAATCAACAAAGACACTAGTAACTAAAGTTACAAGATAAATGTAGTGGAGTAAAAAGTAGAATATTTGCCTTTGAATTGTAGTGGAATAGGAGTATAACAGATAATGGAAATACTCAAGTACAGGTTCTTCAGAATTGTACTTGAGCATGTGAGTAAATGTACTTCCACCACTGTACTTACAGGACTGAGCAACTGTGTCTATAAATAGCATTCATATACGACAGCACTTATATTGGATAATATTCAAGGGACAATACTTACTAACATAACCAGTACACATACATGCAGATTGGTCACTGTCAAGGTTTTCCTTTTTAATTCCCAAAAATATCAGTGCCCAGCGACTAAACCATGATAAAAATTTTCATTTTTCAACCCGCCTCACATTCAGCTACAGGCAATGTGAGTTCCTTCAGTCAGTCTGTAGGATTATGATCATTTGAAATAATTCAAAATATATTGTATGACCACAATTTACTGAACAGATTATGAGACAAAAATCATTTAATCTGACTGCCCATCACTGTAGAGCACTTCTATCATACATACACAGTATTTTCTGCAAGTCAGCTCTGTAATTCTGTTGCGCTTCTTTAAGTTTTATTTTGTTTTTAGCGCTGCATATCTATTGCCATCTGAGATTATAATAAAGTCATGACTAAAACTCTGTTCAACTGCCACATCATGCCTTTGTTGCTGTTTTTTTTTAATATCCCACAATCTTAAGTTTCACACCATAAATGGTAAATGGCTTCCAGTGGTGGAAAGTAACTAAGTACATATAATCAAATTACTGTTTTTAGGTAATTTACTTGAGTATTTCCATTTTCTGCTTTTATTTTACTCCACTACATGTTGGAAGCCAGTATTATACTTTTTACTTCACTGCATTTATCTGATACTTTTAATACTTTGCAGATTGGGATTATTGATACAAAACATAATCAGTAAAAACATTATGATATTTTATAATAAGAATTCACAAGCTTCCTGTCAGTACATATAGCATTAAAAAATGAGCCCTGCCTTCACCAGTTGCAACATTGAAGAGATGAGCACATTGATGCATCAATGACTACAATCCAAAAATATAATATATATCATTCTGAAATGACCCAATCAGCATAATAAGTTTTACTCTTGGTATTGTAAGTATATTTGATGCTGGTGCTTGTGCTTTTACTGCAGTAAACATTCGAATGCAGGACCTTCACTTATATTAAAGCAGGCATGTCTTAAGTCTAGCCCAGGGGCCAATCGATGCCCGCAGACCAATTTTAAGCGGCTCAAAGCTTGTTGTTCAATATATACTGTATGTGGCCCACCACAAATGATGTTCAAGCAAGCAAGATTGCTTTGCTTTATTTTTCTGTTCACCCCACGATGTCAGGGAGAAGGTATTTGCCACAGCAATGAAGGCAGTTGGGAGAAATCTTCCTTGAGGGCTTTCTCCCAGAAGTTAAGGGGAGGACAAAAGTCATGGTTTGGGTTAAAAGGAATAGATTTTTCTTGGAGAAAGTCTACAAGAAAAATGTCCAAATGTAAGGTCAACAGCAAAGGCCGACACTTTCAGGAGCAGTGGAAAGTTGAATACTTTTTCACTGAAAGATGAAACAGTTGCATTTGTCTCCTTTGTGTGTGATTCTTTTTTATTAATAATCCATATGATGTGAGAAGCAGCTGGCCCTCGGGTATTTTTACATTATCTAATCTGGCCTCCATTCAGAAAAGTTTGGACACCCCTGTAACAGAGTTTTTCTATACTGCTTTAAAGAGCTGAGTGCTTCTTCCCCCACTGATGGTTTCAGCTCTTTTACACAACCATCTAAGTTATGTTAAGTGCTGGCAACGATAGATTTAAATAATTTCACCAACGTGCAATGCAAAAATACACAAATGTCACCCACATTTTGTTCTCAATAAGCCAAACTTGTGTAGTGCACCACAATATAATTCTTAATTAGAAAAGAGTAATTAAAAGTGATCTAATTAATGTTATTTAATATAATTTACTTAAGTCTGTTGAATAATAGCCTAGATCATCTTTTTGAGGCTAATATCTAGTTTAGCAATTTTTAAATGTGTCTAACCATAAAAAATAATCTCTTGTTGTCTCACAGTTTTATAAGTTTTATATCTCACCGGCTGCTGGCTCTTTGGAGGGAAACAGCTTGTTGTCCAGGGTCATGCTGATGTCACAGAAGACCTCCTCCTCGTCTCGGTCAGCATCCAACTGAAAGGAGAGGGAAAAAAAAGAAAATCATCTTAGATGCTCTGTTCATTTACTCAAATTTTATTAATTAGCTTCCTGACCTTTTATTTATTTATTTATTTTTGCTTGAGAGCTTAACAGAAACGACAGATGCAAGGCGTACACTGAAGTCACGACCTGACCGACATCACAAACACAATGGACACGCTCAGTTCATTAAGCCGCCGTGACATCCAGAATGAAACTCATCAAAAGATCAAACATAAGAAACTTGACGCGACCCTGGGAGCTTCACACTCGGGGTCATTTTGTATTCAACACACACCGGAAGGATGCTTTAATAATGCTAGATTAATTAGCCTCCCCTCTGTGTCAGTCGGTGCCTTTCAGATTATTCGGAGGCGGGCTGTCTTCCATTGCACGTACAGTACTCCCAAATTGACCGTGAAGAATTGGGTTTGTGAGCGAGCTAGAAGCTGATCGAAGCAGACTTCTCTTCTTCCCTAATCTGCTCTTTGGCCGTCCCTCTGCTCTCATCAGGGACGATGACAAGGAGCTGACAGGCGACCTTGTGCGTACAAAAAAAAACTGGTATAAATAAACAGGCCTAACGTAATTGCTCTGTTTGCCACTGCCTGCAGGTGTGTGATTCTCAGGAGGGCTTCTTACTTGCCATGTTAACTAAACAAAGAAATGAATGAATGTCAGCTGTGGGTGGAGGTCAAATGACGAAATGTAAGATAAGGATACCCCACCACCAAGCTTCCTCCTGGGGTTTCCATGGTAACAAACCTAAAAAAAAAAAGGAGCCCTGGTGACTGCTGTGTGGGAGAGTCCCCTGAGCCCCTGAGTCCACCTGCATTCCTCTGGAGAGCGAGGCATTCAAAAACCCATTAGAGCTGTGGATGTGTCTGGCATCATGAGCAGAGAAAAATGACCCCTGTTACACTGCAGCGTCTTTTATAACCAAAATCTTTTTCCTACTTTAACAGAGAGGCTCCGGATAATCCATTTATATTTACAAGAAGCTGTCTGAGACTCTTCAGAGAAAGTGTCACTTTTCAAGGACAGATTAGAAGCTTTGACTTTTTGGAGAAAAGGCTGATGATTTAATGTCATCACAGAGGCTCTTCAGACGGCAGGCGAGGGATGAGAACTTTCAGTGCAGCAGAACAGAGTGTTTATATTAGCAAGCAAAGTGCACCTGTGTCCATTTATTAGACTGATAATCAAAACTAATGCTTCATCCACACTGAGCCGGCTAAATCTGAAAATGTCGACTCCACCCTAGAGTTTTCGGGTCGTCCTTTTTGTTTTCTAAAACTGCCTCTTGCTATGTGGTATGGGTACATGAACACTACCAAAGACAGAAAAGCTCTTATTATTTTGTTCATAAAGCCTAATACCTAAGCATGTTGTCCAAACTCTAACTTTAACTTTTGAGTGCTCACAAAGAGACGAAGAGGTGATGAAAAGTTGTCCTGCGAGACAGCTTGCGACACCATCTGATCAGGAATACAAAACAAAAGCTCACTTTTCCTAAATACTCCAAAAAGGAGGCTGGTATTTTCAGATTCATCCACTCTGGAGACCATTTCTGATACACTTAGTATTTGATTGTGAAAAGCTGGCTTAGTGTAGACAGCAGTGGTGACCCCAGGAATGGAAAAGCTTTGGGTGGCACACTAAAACCAAAAGCCTTGACTGAATTTGAGAAATCAGTTGTTTAAGTTTACAGGCTAGTTAAAACTTTGCCAGCATGGAGAGCTAAGGAATCGCATACTGATACTTTGTTGTCTTACAATTGTTGTTACTGATTATCTGATGTGCATACACTAATTCCTGTAGAGTTAACATTTTGAGTTTCTCAACAATCCTATTTTAATGTGTTATATATCTGTACATGCAAGGCGATTAATTGTTTGTTGAATTGGTTGGTTGTCATTTTCCTTAAAAAGACAAATATACAGCTTTAATTTGATTGAGTACATTGACTGTATGGAACAACACAGGAGCAAGCCTTCTCAAGCTTAAAGGAGACTGGGTATCCACAGAACCATTTTCATTCACATATCTTGTGGTGAAAGTTCAAGAGATCCCTTTAAAAACAGCCATGCCAGTTGTTCCCTCGCCAGAAATTAGTCTAAGTTTGGAGTATTATTTAGCCCACAAGCTATGTCAACAAGGTTAGCACTACTGGATGTCTTCAGTTGTCTTGTTTCACAACATACAACTATCTTTACACTAGTTTGAAAAATGTCATATCTGCCTTCAGTTATTTTTGCCTTGGACAGAAGGAAGCAGTTTTATCAGGGAGTCCATGGCCCCTCCTGGCCTCCCCTTGGGGGTGTCACTGATGGTCGGAGGGCCAAATCTGAGAGATAAGGATGTGTTTAAAAATCTAGCCAACACATCCCTGAAATGTGTCTTTTAAGTTTTTTGTTTGTTTATTTGTTTTTTAATGTATGACACATACGTGCATTTAGAAAAATTATTACTGACAGCAATGGGCAAACATGTCTTCGGCTGTTAATAGTCAATACTATAATCAGTGGGTGCAACCCCACAGAGGACAGTGGGACATGCTTTTAACAAAAAATGTCTCATGCAAAGAATTACTTTACCGTCATGTACTGAGTATGTACAGTACAGAGCACAAAAATCTTGTTATGAAGTCTGAGGCAAGGTAAAAGCCCTCATCCTCCACCTCAAAGGTCTCAGAGCTGAAGTAGATTAAAGGAAGCAAATGAAGCTGTGAGACAGCTTAAAGCAGCCGCTCCTTTTAAACTTTGCAACATGTTTTTTTTAGGAAGAGGTTTGGTGTATTCAGTCTTTTCTGTTTGATCATCTGAATTAGTTCATGCAAGGTTCCTCAAGAGTTTGAACTAAAAAAACTACCTTCCCTAGTACATCACGACAATACAAGTTTTGTCGATGTTACATAAAGCTCAATGTTGTTGCTCTGTGAAGAGGACCAAAGAAGAGGACAAACACTAAAACGATAGATAGACATAAAAGAACCTATTTCAAGTTATTCAGTCTTATTTTCAAAATGAGATACCATCATGCCTTTTATAAACAAGATGGTTGTTCATATTGATTTCTTATGCAGGTATCTCATTTATATTCCAGGGATAATGAACGAATACCTTGTAACCTTCCCCGGAGAGATAAGACTCCCAGAAAGATGGAGTGAGGTGTCTTTTGTTTGTTTATATCTGCGTGGTATCTAGCAGCATGTGGGAAGAAAGCTGGAGCTCAACTCACTCAATATGTCATTAGATTGGTCCCTTTACCTAGACTGACAGGACAAATGATTATCACTCCATTTCTGCAATTTCATTGTGGAGAAAAAAAAGTAGACCCTCATTTGTACATCATCGTCACTTTTTCACACAAAAATCTAAATGTCACAAAGCCCCAACTTTGTCGATGGCTCAAAATAAAAACGCTGCCAAAACTTTCTCACAATGACAGAAACAGGACGAGATAATTCAGTGAAAAGTTGAGTCTTGTAGACGTACAGTATATCGACTATTCAGTCATTCCAATTCAGGCGGCAGCGATGTGGGGTAATGAGTCACTGCGATTGTTCCTTTATAAACTTATGACTTCCTTTATTGGACCTGACATTTAAATTGAAAAGATTGCTTTCACACAAAAGCCTTTTGCTGAGCGAAAGCAATTAAGCCTCTGAGGTTATTGCATTCATTAGACACTATTGAGTCCTAATTACTGAAGAGCAGAAGGAACTCATCTTATCAGAAGTTAATGTAATCTTTATAATCTGTGCTCAGATATACTGTACTGTTACAGGACAGTTAGCTGCTGTTACAGTAAGACATCAAAACAATATGATTAGAAGTGAAAGAAAGTTTCTGTACTGACTGACATGCATGTCTTTCTGAGAGAAAAGCTAAAAATGTATGTAGCTCTGAACATCACTTACTATCACCAATTTTCAACCAGCTTTGTATCAAAACAACGTGGACAGTATGTGTAAAAGAACTGTGGTAAACTTCCCCCCATCTAACCAGTCCCTAGATATCTGACCTTGCCCCCAGGCGAAACTCCACTGGACAACATAATTTACATCGTCTAGTGGAGTTTCACTGGCTCCCCGGCTGTTGCTCGAACTGCAGGCTGTACTTCTGCATTTTGGTATTGCCTGCCACCCATGCTGCCACCGTGGAAACAAAGAGTATACTGTAGAAGCAGATCAAGTGACAGACCTGCCCCCCTTCTCTCTCAAACTCGGACCGAAATCTGGTTAAACAGTAAAACAAGGCAGCGCAGTTCCAATGTTAATCAAGATTTTGTTACTGTATTTCCTATTTCTCTTGAATGTTTCTAGAAACATATTTTAGTGCCCTGTTTAGCTTTAATAGTGACAGTTTGTGAGCAGGAAGTGGGCAACATACTGTTTCCTGTTCAGTGAAAATGGAGGCTGAAAAAACAGTCAAATGGTAAAACTAGGCAGCACTGATTAAACCAAGATTCTGATACTGTGTTGCCTGTTTCTTGTCTCAAATGTTTTCAGAAACATGTTTTTTCTAACTGTTTAACTGCAAGAGATTGAGATTGTTTCTTGCCTGCCTGGAGCCATTGTTTCAGACAGACATGTTTGTATTATGTCACCCACGACTCCACGAGTGAGTATTTATTGGTCTGGTGCTGTGCTGTGCATTCTGGTAGTTATAGGTTTTCTCCCTCATGAGCAAAAACATCCTTTTTCTCTGTTTTCTCTGGTTCTGTATCACCAGTTTCAAAAGTATTTGCATCTTTCTATTGCATAAACATTCTAGTTTTATTAAAAACAAAACACCTTTCCAGCCATGAAATACTCCTTTAATTGTGTCAACTTGGTGCAAACACCTGAGACAAAGAGTCTGTTGCAGTGTTGCTTTCTAACAATTTAAGGTCCAGTGTGTAGAATTTAGGGGCATCAACAAATCAAACACTGGCTCTGGAGCCTTTCGCACTTTTGTGTTGGCCACTGTAGTTCTCCTACACACTTGGCA